TATTACTTTAGCAGCACATACCAGGGGTTTCTCATGAAAACTCTCAACAATATTTTTAGGTTATGTTTCATCCCAAATATAATATTTTTGCATAAAGAAAATTAAACTTTTTTTTTTAGAATAGATTTTATGCTTTGTGACACAGAGTTATTGTTAAGTAAATAATTAAATAAAAAAAAATAAAAAAATGATTGAACCATAAAAAAGGAAATCATAAAAAGCTTGCTTTACTGGAATTAAAATAAACTTTAACTGAAATTTTATATATATATATATATATATATATAATTGTGGGGCTTCAAAGTCAAATATGTTGACATTATAGCATTTCTACCTATAATGAAAATGAATGTCTGTGTGAAAGACACAGCGCTAGACCGGGGGAAACCAAGGAAAAAAACAAAAAAAAAAAAAAAAATGACAAAAACACTCCGTAAAATTGCTAAAACTTATAAAAACTCATGATAACAAAATATAAAAATATTCATAAGAATAAAAATATTCATAAAAATATTAACAAGTATAATAGCATCTCAGTGGTACTAAAAACTGTGTGTGACATTTAAAAAAAACACCATGATGCAAAAATAGGCTTAATTTTCCTTGCACAGGAAACATAATATACAATAAATATATTTTGGATATATATTATAAGTATGTATGTATGTATTTACTTATTTTTCTTTCTTTTTGCATATATACCCTTTTTATTTGGATGAAAGACATTGACCCAGACGTGTTAAAATCTTTGAAATGTAGCAGCAAATTGCATCATGTTGAAAGCAGCATGTTCAGGATGCTTGTGTCAAAACAGTCAACTCAACAGACTATTATTTCCCAACAGACTATTGTTCATTGTCATTTATAAGCCTTTTAGAGCAGCAGCACATGTTACCATTCAGCATTTCTTACAGAGAGGAGCGTCTACCATCAGGACCGGTGTGAGCATTCAGTTTTAAATGAAGGATTGCTCAGATCCAGGGTTTCCATCATTGAACGGGGTCAGGGCGGTGATTGTGCAACACCATCACCTAGGTCAAGCAGCCAATCACATAAATAACAGTAACGTGACACTGACGGAAAGATCCAGCTCACCTCAAGGTCAAACCACCATACAGAGAAAAACATCCCTCTTATATGTCATTTAAAAAATACAAACCCAAAAACACTGCATCTCCCATCTGATAAAGCAGAAGGAATCTTACATAATCTGCTCAAGGAGGCATCCAGGTCACATTTCACCCAGTAATCAACAGAAAGAAATTAGGTTGCATATTATACTGTAGGCTTACATAATAAGATCCTTTCCTTCAGAAGAGGAAGTTTAGCATTTTGTTTTTAAATATTTGTCCCGTTTCCAATGCTTTTCCAGGAACTGTAGTCGTTAACAGTAGGGTTGTGACGGTGAGGAAATTTTCCCACCGGTTAATCGACGTGTGACAACACCGGTAATACCGGTATCACCGCGGGGGCGGGGCGTCCCTCTTTTCCTCGCTTTCCTTCGCTTTTAAATAGCTTGTTAAAGCTGCGTGCGCATTTTACTTTCACTTTCAAATAGCGGTAATTCGGCGTAAAGCAATTGTTCGTTTTTAGTTCGTTTGAATTTCCCCTCTTTACCTCGCTTTCCTTGGCTTTTAAATGGCTTAAAAGCGCTGTGCGCATTTGGTATCACCGTCAGCACCGTCTATCGCGGCAAGCCTAGTTAACAGTGGTCCACAGCCCATTTCATGTGCATATTGCAAAACGAACTCAAACGCTTTACTAAAAATGAGCCACAGTGTTGGCTGAAGGGTGAAGTGTACCTTACATGTCCTTTAAAGTGTGAAAGATGGCCTGAAACTGTTGGCAGATGCTGTCAGATAAGTCAAAAATAGAAACCAAACCTACCTGATGCGTATCTCACACCACCAACGCCTCTTTCCATTCAGGTCATGGGGCATTTCAGAGCTTTATTCTGGTAAACTGGCTGTTTCAGATACAGCTATCAGATTTACTTGA